TGGGGGCAGCCATTTTCTCTTGCAGATAATAAAATATCTTGCATGGAAAAAAATAAATAAATAACCACAGACTGAGCAGCCTAAAACAATATAAATTTATTATCTTATAGTTCTGGAGGTCAGAAGGCTAAATTGGGTTGCCAGGGCTGCATTCCTTCTGGAGGCTATAGGGGAGAATCAGTTTCCTTGCCTTCTTTAGCTTCTAGAGGCTGCCTGTGTTCCTTGGCTCATAGACCTTTCTCACATCTTTCTGACCTCTGCTTCCATTATCACACCTCCCTCTCTGACTCTGACCCTCTTGCTTGCCTCTTTTAAGGAGTCATATGATTAGGTTGGATGCAGATAATCCACGATAATCTCTTCTTCTAAACAGCCTTAATTTATTTTTTGCCTTTTTTAAAAAAAAATTTTTACCAAATATACATCACAGTGGTTCAACATCCCTTCCCCCTCCCTGTGCCCCTGCCCACTCCCATCCCCCTTGGTAACCACTAGTCACCTCTCAGTGTCTATGAGTTTAATGCTGTTTTGTTCCTTCTATTTTCCTTTGCTTTTTATATACCACAAGTAAGTGAAATCATATAGTATTTGTCTTTTTCTGCCTGGTTTATTTCACTGAGCATAATACCCTCTAGCTCCTTCCATGTTGTTGCAAATGGTAGGATTGGTTTCTTTTTATGGCTGAATAGTATTCCATTGTGTATATGTACCACATCTTCATCCTTTCATCCATTGATGAACACTTAAGTTGCTTCCATATCTTGGCTATTGCAAATAGCATGGTGATAAACATAGGGGTGCATATATCTTTTTGAATCAGGGATTTTGTTTTCTTCAGGTAAATTCCTAGGAGTGAAATTACTGGGTCAAATGGTATCTCTATTTTTAGTTTTTTGAGGAAACTCCATACTGCTTTCCACAGCAGTTGCACCAACTTGCAATCCCACCAACAGTGTAGGAGGGTTCCTATTTCTCTGCCTTCTTGCCAGCATTTGTTATTTCTTGTCTCTTGAATAGTGGCCATTCTAACTGGTGTGAGGTGTTATCTCATTGTGATTTTAATTTGCATTTATTTCTCTGATGATTAGCGATGTGGAGCATCTTTTCATGTGCCTGTTGGCCACGTGTATTTCTTCTTTGGAGAAGTGTTTGTTCAGGTCCTCTGCCCATTTTTTGATTGGGTTATTTGTTTTTTTGGGGTGTTGAGGCACACAAATTATATATTTTGATGTTAATGAATATATTCTCCCATACTGTAGGAGGCCTTTTTGTTCTGCTGATAGTGTCCTTTGCTGTACAGAAGCTTTTTAGTTTGATGTAATCCCATTTGTGCATTTTTTATTTTGTTTCCCATACGTGAGGAGATGTGTTCAGTAAAATGTTCTCATGTTTATATTCACGAAATTTTTGTCTGTGTTTTCTTCTAGGAGTTTTATGGTTTCATGACTTACATTCAGGTCTTTGATCCATTTCAAGATTACTTTTGTGTATGGAGTTAGGCAGTAATCCAGTTTCATTCTCTTATATGTAGCTGCCCAGTTTTTCCAACACCAGTTATTGAAGAGGTTGTTTTTTACCCATTGTATATTCATGGCTCCTTTATCATATGTTAGTTGACCATATATGTGTGGGTTTATATCTGGGCTCTCAATGCTGTTCCATTGATCCATGGTTCTGTTCTTGTGCCAGTACCATACTGCTTTGATTGCTGTAGCTTTGTAGTAGAGCTTGAAGTCAGGGAGCATAATCCCCCCAGCTTTGTTCTTCTTTCTCAGGATTGCTTTGGCTATTTGGGGTCTTCTGTGGTTCCATATGAATTTTAGAACTATTTGTTCTAGTTCATTGAAGAATGCTGTTGGTATTTTGATAGGGATTCCATTGAATCTGTAAATTGCTTTGGGCAGGATGGCCATTGTGACAATATTAATTCTTCCTATCCATGAACACAGGATAGATTTCCATTTTTTGGTGTCTTCTTTAACTTCTCTCATGAGTGTCTTGAGTTTTCAGAATACAGGTCTTTCATCTCCTTGGCTAGGTTTATTCCTAGGTGTTTTATTCTTTTTGATGCAATTGTAATTGAGTGGTTTTCCTGATTCCTCTTTCTACTAATTCATTGTTAGGATATAGGAATGCACCAGACTTCTGTGTATTAATTTTGTATCCTACAACTTTTCTAAATTCAGTTATTAGTTCTAATAGTTTTTTAGTGGATTCTTTAGGGTTTTCTATGTATAATATCATGTCATCTGCAAATAGTGAGAGTTTAACATCTTCCTCACCAATTTGGATGCCTTTTATCACTTTGTTGTCTGATTGCTCTGACTAGGCACTCCAGTATTATGCTGAATAAAAGTGGTGAGAGTGAGCATCCTTACCTTGCTCCTGATCTTAGAGGAAAAGCTTTCAGCTTTTCACTATTAAGCGTGATGTTGGCTATGGGTTTGTCATATATGGCCTTTATTATATTGAGGTATTTACTCTCCATACCCATTTTGTTGAGAGTTTTTATCATGAATGGATGTTGAATTTTGTCAAATGCTTTTTCAGCATCTGTTGAGATGATCATGTGGCTTTTATCCTTCTTTTTGTTAATGTGGTGTATGATGTTGATGAATTTTTGAATATTGTACCATCCTTGCATCCCTGAAATAAATCCCAGTTGTTCATGATGGATGATCTTTTTGATGTATTTTTGGATTATGTTTGCTAATATTTTCTCAAGAGCTTTAATCTGCACATCTGCAAAGTTCATTTTGCCATGTAAGATAAACTATTCATGAGTTCTGGGGATTAGGCTGTGGACATCTTTGGGGACCATTATTCAGCCTACCACACATAGACAGCAAAATGTGAACCCACAGATGAATTAGTTGCCACAGAAATGATAAAACTCCACTCATATATATTTTAAACTTTATATCAGAACATCCAAAGTAGGTGAAATAACTTTATTAAGTAAAAAATATCATAAATACACATTGAAATAAGACCTGATACCTAACAAAAAACTATGATTATTAAATAGGCACCATACATCAGCTCAATGGCTGCTTGGGCTTCCTTGTGCAAATCCATTATCATGCTTTAGTGAATCCTGGGTTTTCCTGGCGTTTTCAGGTAGGCACACCATTTCCTCAAGGCAATTATCTAATTATACTATATAAAAGAGCATAGGGTTTTTTATCCATGTATTCAAGAATAAAATTTAGGTAAACAATGTAACTAAGTACTAATTATTTTTCAATAAGTACCTCAACATCCTACAGAATTGTTTGGGTAAAAGTACAATGTAAACCTATCTGGGGAAAATCAAGTCCAACATTTCTTGATGTTTATTTTAAAAGACTATGGTTAGATATTTTATTCTGAATTATCTAGCAATGTCATATGAATAACTATTACTAAATGACAGTTTCACAATGGGCTGATGGGTAAGGCTGTCAGCTGGCTCTTTCTGATAAGAACCTCACCCTACAACTGCATCTTGATGATGAATTTTGCCTATTTAGTAATTTAATAATTCATCCAAGGCTGATCTGGCTCTGATGCATTCACTGAAGAGCAATGTCCTTTTCCCAATGGAAACTTTGAGAAATCAAATTGAGATCATAAGTTTGCCTGATTAGTATAGTTAAAATGTCAGGCTGCTTAAGGCACCAAAAATGCCCAGGCACTCACCACCCTTCATCCCAACTTCCCTTTCCCCTAATCTGGCCCAAATTACAATAATCAAAATACTGAAGAAGTATTCTACACTGAAAAACTTGATACATTTTTAAAATAATGAGTCAGAATTCAACTTGATGATTTCCTCCCTTGGTTTGTATAGCTGAGGCAGCTGCTCATTGTCTTTCTCCCAAAGTCATTTCTTTTCAATTGTTTTTTTCTCTAAAGCTGCAATGCAGCCTTACTGTTTTTACTGTCCAATATAGTAGACACTAGCCATGTGTAGCTACTGAGCACCTGAAATATGGCTAGTCTGAATTGAGATGTATTGTAAGTATAAAATAATATCAGTTTAAAAACTTACATTAATGACAACGTAAAATATATCATTAATAATTTTAGGATTGATTACTGATCGAAACAACATTTAGATTTATTTTGGGAAAATTTGGTTAAATAAAATACATAATTAAAATTAATTTTACCTGTTTCTTTTTACCTGGTTAACGTAGCTACTAGAAAACTTAAAGTTACATACGCGGTTCACCTATTTTTATTGGGTAGCACTGATCTAAGGTTCCTGAAGGCCTCCCGTTACCTTCTTTAATTGTTCTTTATGGTCTGACCTCTCCATTCCTTCCCTTTCTGGGATCTGCTTCAATTTATAAGGTAAAATAGAAAGTCAAATTCTGTGAGCAACCTATAAGTCAAGAGAATTAAGTGCATCCATAGACATTGAAAGTCTTAGTTCAATTCTTCAATTTAGTGGCTTGGTACCGCAATATTAGAAAAAAGGGGGCAGGAGAATAGCCTTCATTAGTGTCTACCATGGACTATTGGTATATGGAGAATTAAAGAGAGAATATAAGAATCATTCTGGAGAGGAAACATATACACACAGAAGGAAGTAGGACAAAGACTATGGAAGTAGGACAAAGACTATTCCATCTCCAACCCTACCCACCTCTCTAGGTTTCTGATCTATTTTTCTTTTGGCCACACCTATTTGCCTCTCCTTTTCTGTGTGCTAATTTAGACTGTTTCCTTGATGGAATGCGGCAGTTGAAAAGATGAAGAAAAACTGCTGGGAGAGGAGGATGTGGAGTGGTGTAGCAGATCTAAAGACCAGGCAACATAGAAAGATGTTTATCTAAGTTGAAAAAGACCTTAGAGATTACCTTCTTCTATCTTCCACCCAAACCTATAACCTTTCTATATGTGGAATAAAAGCTGCCTGTATTGTTAGAACATCAATATTTGTCTCACAAACCAAATACATGCTGAGAATGGGGGAAATCCTCTGAAAAAATGTTTTTCAACGGGGAAAAAATATGAAGAAAACACATGATGCCATTGTTTATGAACCTGAAGAACTTCTGAATACCTCTCCCAAAGTAACAAATTGTTGCAAACTGTGGGTGAAATACAGTTTTCAGAGGACATACATGACCAGACTTGTTTGCTCCCAGGCAGTTTCAGCCATGCCAAGGAAAACAGGTAAGATATTATTTGTATTAAGATAAATATTCTACTTAGTGTGTATTTTTCTTGGTACTGAGGATATAAAATTGGGCTGTAGATCATTTAAATGTTAACTGTAAAAGGAGAGTGCTAAATCTATTTGTTGAAGTTATTATGTGGTGGAAATCTGAAACTGACTTTGCTTCATAGTATTAAATCTTTTAGTTTGTATAAGCCCTGAATCATTGATGTGATGACTAATTAAGATAATCCCAAATCAACTAAAATAGATCAAACACATCTTTAGTAAAAATTTGCCTTTAAACTTGACCCAATGATATCTGCATTGTTAAGGTAGGGAACATTCAGTTTGGGTTCCTTCTTGATTTTATCAATACAGGAAAACACATGAAGGAAAGATAAACTTGGAAGTTTGATTTTGCAAAATGTGTGATTCCTAAATGTCCCAAAATGTTGGAATATTAAAGTCTTATGTTTTGAAGAACATTAAAGAGTGTTGGGGTTAAATTTATAGGACTTTAGATTTTTAGATTAAAAATGTTATACTCCTGAAATGTATTATTAAAACTAATCTCAAACTATCCTCCAATTTTAAAAGGTGGAGATTTCAAACATCCTGATAGGTCCCATGCCACCATATCAAATATGGTATCCATTTTCTAGAAGGAACTCAATTGACTAAAATTTTTAATTTTCAACTGTGCAGGTGTCAACAATTGTCTCAAAGCCTGAGATTCTCACTTATAAATACCTTCTAAAACATATTTTGTTTTTTTTGAAATGTAATTCATACACCATAAAACTCACCCTTCTAAAGCTCAGAATTCAGTGGTTTTCAGTATATTTGCGAAGTTGTTCATTCATTACCACTCTTCTAGAACTTATGTTTTATTGTAAATCTTACCAGTATGTTTTCACACTCACCACCTGATCCTCAGATTCCTCATAAAGCTGATGGGTGTCTTCCTAGGTGTCCTGTGGGTGGTTGCCACATTTACGCCAAGTGCTTTTCTAATTAGTTTCACTTCAAAAACAGCAGCAGTGTGAAAAATTCCGATGCTACCACGTTTGATTTATAGAGTAACAGCCAACAACCTAATGTACACGTTTGTTTTCATGCCTAGAACTCTTGTTTTTCTATGTATGTAAAACTTGTGACTGGCATTTTAGTCTGGTGGGCCACCAGTATGTTCAACACCAAACAACTGGAAACAAGGGACCCCCAATTAGAGGTGGTGGCAGATGCAAGCCTGCCTTTTCCTGCCCCCATTTTTCCTGGCTCAGGAGGCCGCAGCGCGTTTCTCCCTTTTATTACATTGCTGACGAAATGGAGGAGGCGCTCCCTGAGGGAGCCGGTGTGAGACTGCAGGGCGTTGTTACCACGGCATCGAGAACGCCCAAGCCAAGGTGATCGGAGGCGCCCGGCCCCTGAGTGCGGGAACCCAGCTTCCCAGCCCTCGGGTGCCGTCAGCGGCTAGGAACGCTAAGGCGCGCCTCTGCGGCCCCGGAGCCCGCCCCTGGCCGCCGCGCGGCGTGTGCGCTCCCCACTGGCCACGGGTGGCACACGTGACCGCTGCGGCCCAACCGGCCGAGCGCGCGCTTTTCTCGCCAGCGCGCGGGCCGGGGCTGCGTAGCCGGTCACTCCCCCGCCGTGTGCGGTAGGGTCCCCAGAGGACCCTGGGAAGCTCTCCGGGCCGGGAACCTTTAAACAAACAAGCAAACAAAAAAGCCCTAAGCACTGCCCAAGGCAAAAGTAGGGAGGAAGCTGATTATTGAAGGTCCCCTTACCCCGGCAGTGGCTTTGATCCGGGGCTGCGACACAGACTGAAGATGGAAATCCCAAGCCATTCTTGGCTGGAAAGTGACTCACTGAGGGCCAATTTTAACTCTCTTACTTTAGGGAAATCTACACGTATGAACACAAGCCTTTGGAAAAACAAACCCATAATTTCTGTAAGGGGAACTTAAAGACACTTTTTCTTAGAAGTAGAGGGGGTGGGTAGGACCTTGGGAAGTCCAGAGCAACGATCCTGATGCATCATTTAAGGAAAATTAGCAACTCTTGGGAAGTTAAAAATGCATAAAAGCAAAGGAGGCCCTGTCCACCTCTAAAAATGTAGTAGTTATTGATAGGAAAGGGCTGAATTAAAGAAACCCTATGTATGTACGGATGTGTATAAGCAGTATAAATGGGATACATTAATTGTAGAAGTCAATAGACTCGAGTTATTCAGCTTTTCTCTCCCTTTGAGAATGCTGGCATGCTTATTTTTACCTGTTCTTCTTTGTAAGGCTCACCAACTCTCCCCTGCCTCCTCTGGATAGACAGTTTCTTTTTTTCTTCCAAAAAACTACTAGGGCCTACTATATTCCAGGCCCTGTGCTAGGTATTGGGGTAACAATGGTGAACAAAAATGGTACTAATCCTTCCTTTCTGGAGTGTACAGTCTGGTAAAGGAGGCAGAGAGTAGTCAGTTACACACACCAATGTTAAATATAATGCGATGAGAGGTCCAGATGCTATAATGGGACTTTGACCCAACAGGGAGGTTAGAGAAGACTTCCTTCGTAATGTAACCTCTGGGCTGAGGTCTTTAACAGTTAAGGGGCCAGGAACTGCAGGCAGAGGGAACAGCCTGAGCAAGGGACAGCTGGTAGCCTTTCCCTTTCCAGTAACTGCCCATCTCACCCAGTTACTATCCATGCTTTAATCTTACCTCTTAGTTCTCACAAGACACTTTTTCTTTCAATTCCAAGTATTTAGAGAGTAACTTGTAACCTAATAATTATATTGTGATAGACAATGAGTATCCTGTATGTAAGTATACTAATATACATATCTAATATGCATTAACTAACATCTGTTGTTTTAAGAAAAACATACCATAATTATTACAAAATGTAGAATATGATGTATCTCAATAGAACTAAAAGTGCTGTAGATATTCAAGTGTAAGAAATCACTTTATTTTGGAAGATTCAAAGCATTTAGAGTAAGTAATTTTTGAGATATGCTTACAAGGCAAGATTTGGTCAAATGGAGATACAGTTTAGTGCATACAGTTCAAGAAGAGAAAGTAGGCTGGGCAGATAGGTTGTGATTCGTTATAAGGGACTTGGAAACCAGTCCAAACAGTTTGTGGAAACTAAATAGAAATGTTTTATTGAAGTTTTAAGGACTTTTGTGAGGTTGTTTTTCCCTTCCAACATTTACCATGGAAAATAAAAAATCTATAAAAAAGTAGTACAAATAAGTCTATGGTTACTCATAAACACTTCCCACGGATTCACCATTTTGGGGGACCACATTTGCTTTATCTTTTTCTCTTTCTACCCCCTCCTGCACACACCACACACACACACACATGCACACCCCCAAATACATGCACAGATGTTTTTCTTTGCTAAACCATATGAGATAACGTTGCATAATACTAACTTCAACTCTAAATAACTCCACATGTCTCCTAAGAGCAAAGATATTTTTCTGCATAACCACAATACAATTATGACACTTCTGAGATAACTTTTTAAATTAATTTTGGAAAAAGTGTGTTAAGTAAATAAAAAGTGAGTTACTTGCAACAGCGGCTGACACATCGTAAGTACAATGTAAGTGTTTAAGTGTTTGCCTAAAAATACATTTTCATGGTTGGAAAACTAAAAAATATGAAAAGGCATATGATGAGAAGTCTCCTCTGTATGCTTCTCTCCCACTCTGATCATTCCCTATAACTGGTGACCATTTATCTCAGATTCTTGGGTATTCTTCTAGAGGCTCTTTATGCAAATATGAATAACTGTAAATACAGGTTTTTATACTCCCCTTTTAGACAAAAGATAGCATATTAAGCACACTGTTTTTACTTCATAATTTATTTAAATAGTCTCCTATTGATGTATATTTGGATTGTTTCCAATCACTTAACATTGAAACCAATGCTACAACAAATAACCTTGAACACACTTGCATTTGTAAAATTTGGTACGTTGCCCACCCACACCCCCCAGAGTTTGTACCAATTTACACTCCCACCACCAATTGTGAAAGTATCTCCAGGCTTTTGATAAAGTTCTATACCAAGAGTTTAAAATATGTGAATGTGCTGCTATTATACAACTTAAAATGACAGAAGTGTCTTCAAGACAAACTAAAAGGTCAGGCTGTCCTTAGATAAACTTACAGAGTAGCCAATATTTTTCATCCAACTCTAACCTTTTTTGTTCCATTCTCTCCACCCCCTTATGCAACTATATCTTTATAATCATAACCAACAATATATGATGAGTATAGTTCTATATGTAGGCCCTGAGCAAGGTCCCAGAGTTATGAAATAGATACATGCCCTTAAGGGTTTCACCATTCAGTTGGTCAGATACGTACAAAATGCAAACAGTTGTTGAGTTCCAGAATGCAAAACATACCTCTTGCTTTTGGCCCACTCAATCCTTTGTTGCATCTTACCTCCAGGTCTCCCCTTCTCTGCTCCTTTGCTTGCCCAATTGAGCTACCCATGGCTCGTTGGCTTCCTTACAGTGCCTCCATTTCTCCCAACATCCCTAACTGAAACTTGCCCAACTTGTATTCTATTTTCCTAATGCAGATTCTAGATTTTGTATTTCCCAGGTAGTAGTTAATCAATTAACAAATAATTACCCTTTTGACTGGCACAAGCAGGGCTGGTCCTAAACACATTTTGCAATAGGTGATCTTCATTTGCAGGCTCTCCCTAGTCAGTTCCCTTTCTTATTTTTGGGCACTTTGTCTCCTGGGTGAGCAATCAGTCCTCACAGGTACCTTCACTTTTTCTCACAAAAAAAAGTCAAATAATCCTTGCTGGGGTATGAACTAAGCATTAGGGTATTATTTCAAAATAGCATGAGGTGAGAATATCTTCACTATGTATATGTTTCAAAATACTCTTGAAACCAACAATAGAAACTGAAATGACAGTATGGTTGCAGTTTTAATCACAGGGCTAGGTATTTCACCTACTATGTAAGCCACCTACTTA